ATTCTAGCTTGTCAGTATCGGTAATTTGAGTTCCTAATTTGTACAAAACTATAGACTTAGTATTTTGACTTCACAAACATCTAATTTGGACCAGTGCTGTATTCAACATACCACATGACACACAAAAATCAATGTTTATCTGTGTTTTTTAATATTTACTTCTAAATTAAGAAATTGAGTAATATATAATACTAAAATTTGAATTATAATCTACAGTTTGATACTAAACTTATTGACATAAGTTCATGAAATAGTAGTTCAATAAAAGTTTGAATGCGAGTCAACAATCAAGATAACAGGCTCATTATGTGGAATAACATATTATCAAGATTACATACTTTCAGTACAAAATTAATTAAGGTTAGCGGTTAGACGAAGCATTGTTATTCAAAAATAATAATTTTCAAATATATTGATTTTCTTAGGTTTTTTTAATGAATCTCTCATTTGAATAATTTCCTTTTTTAAATAACTTTTCCCAGTTCAGCCAATAGGAAGTTGGCTTTTCGTGATTTCCAAGGCCCTTTGCCCCCTCATGCTGGTTGCACACCAAAAAAATCAAGTTTGAAACCATCGGCTGTGAAGAGTCCAGCTGAACTACAAGAATTCAGTCTGTCAGCAGTGTAGTTTTGTTTATCTATTAGTGACTTTAAAGTCTGATTCAAACAACTGATTTTTGCCTTTTCTAGTTTTTGATGTACATTATACTTTAACAAAACTTGGTGTAATTATCAGAAACATAATGCTTAGCACTTTTTTTTTGTCAATTAATCATTGAGTATTTTTTCTGACAACTTAATTGTTTATTATGGAATTATAAAGAAATGTTAAAACTACAACAGTTCACATTAAGTACGAATACTTTTAGTCTGTGAAAATTCCATTTGTTTTTTCAAGTGCAAGGAGATATGTAACTTTTAGCCTTTGATGTGGTGTATACATGTAGTTGTTATGTATCACTTGTGTGTGTTAATAGAATAGTTGAAACTTTACCATAATTTGTTTGTCAAATTATACAGTAGTTTAAAGGAACTTAGAACTAAATAGTTGATACTTTTCCTGAGGGTTGTTGTCTTGTGCTGTGCTGTGTGTATTTTCAACTTTGTCATATCATATTATTAGCACAATATTCAAAGAGTTAAACAGTAGCATACTTACAAATATACTAGATGATCGTTATGTAGACTTAACTTAACCTTTCATTTACAGAAGGAACATGTTGTTTTCTTGCATTTACATGATAGATATCAACCTATACTATTTTATCTTACACTTTAAGGTGATGCAAGTCAAAACTTTGGTAGAAATTAATTATCTATAGCACTGTAGGTGTGCTCATTAAGATAAAAATCATGTTTCATAACTTAACATGTTATTCTATTGGCTAGCAAACAGATGCTTTATTGGTCCAAAAGTCTTGGACAGTATAAATTATTCTGCTATTTCCCTTGCCATCTCAGCCTCGTGCAATTTCCATGAAATAAACACAAGTGTTATGATTATGTTAAGCTTTGCTCTTATAATATTCATAATTGTTACACTATTGAAATGGATGAATTACTCATCCACTGAGATAAAAAAACATCAGTTGTTAATGTATCTTGTATTTACTTTACCAGTGTTGAAATTCTTGTTTGATAACACCGTGTATTAGAATATTATATCAAGTTCTTCAAAATGAGTTTTGAATTTTGCTTGAAGGATTATAAAGAATTGGTGCCAAAAACTAGTTATAAATATATATATAATTTATCGAATACACTTGTTTATTTTGTTATGTATGTTTGAAATATGTTTATCACATTGTTTTACCTTTCAAGGTGATGTGATTTATGTATAATTTCTTATCATCATGGTATCTTGTACAATATTGTTTGTTTAAAGACAAAGTTTATTTTATTTGTCAGGAGATGGAGTCCTTTTGTTATTTGCTAGTCTACTAGTAGCAGCGTCTTACAATTATCATCAAAATGCCTTACTTAAGTGAATTTTGTTCATTTTTTATATGTGTTTCTGAAGATTAATAGTATGGTTGGTAAACAACATTCAGCACAAGTAACTTTTCTGAACATCAAGGGAGAAGTGTAAGATAAAAATAAGTTATTATATAACCATCACAGATACTTTCTGTTCTTTAGTAGTATGCTTTACAGCTGTCTAAAGTTATTTCTAAACAGCCAGCAAGCTTTATTAAAACATTTTTGTGGCATTATTCAGACACTTTAAAGACTTGAAGAAATCTTCTGTTAAGAAATGAGGAAAATCAAAATTGAAACATTTCTAGGAATAGGTAGCTCTAGAAATTGTCTAAGTTAAATCAAACAGGTTTTGATAAACTGTTCCTTTTTTTTTTCATCCATAACCAAATCACTTGTAGGAATCATCAGCCCATATTGTGAAACAAGGACCAAGTATTTAAAAGTTTTTGAAGTATGGTTAACACAGTGCATGGATAGGTATCGTCATTAATTATAAAAGATAAACTTGTTGGACTGAATGATTTTAGATACATCTGTGGAAACAAAGGTACATAGTCCCACCAACTTTGATTTAGATATTACACAAAACCATAAAAGAAGTTTATTATACATAAAGTAAAAAGACACAAAAAAGGAACAGTATATTCCCCCAACAATAATATATATATTCAGAACTAATTAAATGTTTTATTTTCTCTAGGCATGAAATGACTATGAAGAAGCATATGGATAGACTACAAACTATAGGTTTTTGGCATTTTTTTTTAGATTGTATAACAAACTTTTATCTTCTTGAAAAGATATTGAACGTGTATATTGTTATTGAAAACCAGAACAAATGAGTGTACATTTTTGAATTAATATAACTTATGTGTATCATCTTACACACCATATGTGTATATCATATTATCAGGGGATTGAAACTTTCATACAAAGTACTAAGATCATAATACTGTTATCTAGTTTGTACATTCCTGCCCCTTGTGGCTCAGTGGGAAATTTAAAGGACTAGAATGCTAAATTTCAGGGTTTGATCCATGTGGTGAGCATGGCACTGATAGCAAATATAGTAGCTTTATGTGTAAAAACAGATTGCACATCTATTGAAAACCTTTTCTAGATACCGATCTCATGATAATATTGAAGAAACGCATTATTAGGTTTTTAAAAATAGTAATAGTTAATACTGGTTTTGCTGCATTTACATACACTCAAGCAAAAATGCATATTAGACTATTAAGTACAACACTAAAACGGCCAGTTTATATACTGAAGTTCTTGTCACAATTATACTCAATCGTTAAGAATACTCAGTGATTGTTGTAGTTAGTAAATGTAAGCTTTGTCATTCCATGCGTGATTCTGATCTTGTAACTTTTTTTTTTTTGAATAATAAAGAAAATGAAAAACCATCCTGAAACTGCTGTTGTATTTTCTGCACAGAGCATTGTCCAGTTGAGGCACCTTAAATGGTGAGGCGTCATCCTCCGTGATTCTCTGGTAGATTTATATATCCTCTCCACCTAGCCGTCGCTAGTTTAGCGGTAAACGACTAGAGGGAATGCAGCTAATCCGCACCATCCACCACCAAGTTTTGGGCTACTCTTTTTGCCAACGAATAGTGGTATTGGTCGTACACTATTATTACGCCCCTTCGAATGAAAGGGCGATCATATTAGGCGACGGGGTTTCGAATCCGCAGTAGTTTGTGTGCAAGTCGAGTGCCTTAAGTGCCAGACATTCCAGGCCCTTTCACCCCGTTACTGCCAAAAACAATCGTTCTCTGCACTTTAGGATTATGAGTGAGTTATAAGAGTGACAGTGAAATTCAACTATTTGAATTAGAGTGGTTCACGAATTGTCGATTGATAGTGTTCGCTAGCTGCTCTACCTCTAGCGTACACTGTAAAATTAGGGACGGGTGAAGAAGGAACTCTTTTTTAAGACATCTGCACAGACAAAGGTAGAAAGAGGACAAAGAGAAGAATAATTATTTTTTACAAATAAGTTCAATGCGGTATACAATAATATAATGCTGCATACATCATTGACTGTTCCAAGTTCGTACAAATTTCCGTGTTACTCCATAAGATGGGGTCGCTCCCACCCCCCGTAGAAACTGCAAAGCCAAAGTTATATAAGATGACGAAACGTTGTACTTATGTTAAACTTATATTAAAGTTTTTCTTCATTACCCATTCAAGCCGTCTCCAGCCATTATTAATCTCTAAGTGGGTTCCTCGTCATCGAATTTGAAAGTTATATAAGCTTCTAGCCATTGCCAAATGTAACCTTTACCCGAGTAAACAGATTAGCATATGTTTTTGACATTTCGTATTTGGTTACATGTAAGAAAAACTGCACGAAAATTTACCTTAATATACCAGAATAAAACTATATTTTATACCAGGTATAGAAAGGTTAAATTAACAACTTATATTAGGGTCTACTAGATCCAAACAATTCTATAATCTCTTGCACCAAATAGCCATAACACGTAAAGAAATATAGGGTTACACAAAACACCAGCAACCACTAAAATTAAATTAAATTGAAAGAAAACTGAATATAAAACAAAATTGAAAATTCTACAAAAAAATTAAACTTTAAAAATCGAAACAGGAAACGTGAAGTAAAGGAAAATAGATTCAAATACGGAATAATGACAAAAAATTAAGTAAGTATTAATTCGGAGATATTTATGATATATACAGTACTGCTGCAAGCTGTTCCAGAGTCTGGAACCTCTGGGTGCTTCTTTTTAATGTAGTGGTGCTTCAGGATCTTTCCCAAAATTGACTCTTAGCAGTTGACAAGACAAACAGTTGAAAAATGTATCAATGACCGTCGCCCACATAACTTCGCGCTTTTGGTCTGGTGGTTAGAGCGCCCGATTCGCAATCTAGAGGTCGAAACCCCGGCACCAAACATACTCCTTTTTCAGTCATGGGGTCGTTATAATGTGTCAATTCCACAGCCAAGGGAACGGGCTTGGAAAAATCAACCGGGATCAACGCTGATTTTTCCAAGCCCGTTCCTTTGCCTGTGGTTTCGCTAGATAGTAGATAGGGACAGTGGGAATCTCGTTAATCCATTCATGCGCGTCACTAGTTAGATGACGAGGCATTTGGCTACCTTAAGAGAGTCATAGTTGGTAAAAGAGTAGCCCAATAGTTGGTGGTGGATATTGTTAACTAGCCGCCTTCCCTTTAGTCTATCACTGCTAAATTAGAGACAGATAGCTCTCGAGTAGCTTTGAGCAAAATTCACAACAAACCAAACAAACAAGCAAAGCCTTTTTTTGGTCTGTTAGCCTGAAGTCTTCTGTTGAGAAGTTACCTTCAATTGCCTCGTGAATGCAATTAATTTTTTTTGGTGAAAGTTCCGAAATTTATGGCTCCATTAACAAGTTAGGATTGAAAACTCCGATTCAACTAACCTGTGATAAATCAGAAGTTCATCTGGCAGTGTAAGTTAAAAATCACGACCAATAAGGCTACGACCTGACACATGGATATAGATGTAGCGTACGTGTATTGTCTTATATCATTTATGGTGAATGTACTCGTTACTGTGATGTCAGAACACATTTGTTACAAATTGTAGTGATGTGCAACGTACATAGTTTTGTGTGGAACAATTCCTTAGCCAGACCCCTGACAATGCCATCCTCTGGTAATAGTTATCAACTAGGTAATTTAGTCATTTCACATATACGGAGCTCTTCCACTTTTGTCTGGTTGTCATGAAGACAGAGACCAGGTCCATTGGAGAAGAACACAAGGAGACACCTTGCAATGGTTATCAAAATTAGGTCTAATATTTTACAAGCAGTGAGCGAACTTTGAAGGTTTAATAACCAGTTAGTTCGCAGTTCCAAACTGCCTTGTGATATGTCACCGGTTGTATAGCAGTAAGTCTACGGTAAAATCCGGATTTCAATTCCCCACGGGGGACACAGCGGATAGCACAAAGTGGCTTTGCTCTAAAAAAACAACAACAACAAAAAAAAAAACCTTAGTGATACAATTTAAACTTTATGTAAATAAATAAGTAAAACCACACCTGATTTCACAAGTAAATCTAGAATTATATTCGTATAGTCTAAAGAAAGTTACGATATAACACTACAACTAAATGTAGTTAACACAAAGTTAGTGAATTACCACTACCTTGTTCAGAAATAATATCGAGATAAAATATTAAGTAGTATTTGGAAAAGTTAGAAAATTATCAGGTCATGCACATAAAAAAAATTCTAAAACAGAACTCCTTAAAAACAATAGGCACAATATGTGTTATTTCGTTTTGGTTGAGTCTCTTAATCTATAAATATCTTGGTTACCAAAAATAAAAGATATTCTCTCACCAACACTAGTGAAAACAATGGGTCTTTCTCATTTTTTCTTCTGATATTATATATATATTCTATAGAAACTGTTTCTTTCTCAGTATGAAATCACACACGAATGTTCCAGTTTGGGATCTAAATATATCGTCTGGTTTGAATTTCGCGCAAAGCTACACAAGGTCTATGTGCGTTAACCGTCTCTAACTTAGCAGTGAAAGACAATTATTCTTCGACACACACCTTCAACTCTTAAGTAAATAAAAGAGCGAGCATGTTTGGTGGAACGGGGATTCGATCCTACAGATTGCGAGTCGAGAATCCCTTATCACCTGGCCATGTCAGGCCCAAAATGTATACCTTCTTTATCTGCAGTAAGAACGATCTATGTTTTATATCTCAATGTGATCACAGGTAACACTAAATTACTAGGTAAGTCAAAATGAGAACATTGATCTCGGGCCTCAGTTTATAAACCAACAGATTTCTCAGTTTAGTTTTAGTTTATATTAATTTAATGTATTGCTTGAGTGTGTGATTTTTTTATTAGTTATTATGGTGTAATCATCACATCTTTTTGTGGTTTGTTTTTATGTAAAACGCTCTATTAACGTTCAGAACAACACAATTTTGGTAAGAATTAAAAATGGACAATTAGATAAATATGAGGCGACAATTAGGTAAAACTTCTTTTATAGAAAATCCTGATGAGGTGATATTTAACTATTAAAAGTATGTTCTAAACAATGTTGAGTTATATGATCATATTGTAAAAGTTTTGAGACGGTTTGACTGGGTAATGAAAAGCTTTATTATATCTGTACGACATTGTCGAAACTCGTACATTTATAATAATGTTTTTCATTACCCAGTCAAACCGTCTCAAAACTTTTATTTTCTAAAAGGGGTTCTTCGTTATCAAGTTTTAAATGTGATTAGATTGATGGTGTCGCCATAGGTCAATACTGGCTCCAACTTGTGTTTATGTTTTTATGAAAAGCAGTAGTTGGACAGTTGCTCATTATAATTCAAACCTCTCTACTATCGCAGATATGTTGACGACACTTTTTCTATGTTTAAGACTTCTGATCAAGTCTCACAGTATTTGAATACTAAATATAATAGTATTGTGTACTTGAGAATGATCGCACTAGCGATCGACACGTCGTACTTGTTCTAAAAACAAATCTTACTTACTGTAAAAGCTGTAACTTGTAATAAAATATACTTAATCATTGGATAAACTCAAAACGGAACTATTAATAGTAGTATTAAGTTTACTGTTGAAAATCGAGAGGATCAAAGACGTTTATTTTTGGATAATCTTATAAACAACAATAATTGACAGTTTGGATGTGAAATTTATCGCAAAATCTTTCACTGGATTATATTTTTTATTTTGAGCTCTTCATTCCTACTGTTTATAAGGAGAATTTAGTTAAAGTAATTTTTCATCGTGGTTATGAGATATCTAGCACCTATGATAATTTACATATAGAATTCTTAAGCATCAAATAATTCTTTTGTAAAAATGATTTTCCAAGGTATTTTGTTGACAGGTGTATCTAGAAATATTATGGTTATAAGCTTACCTTATTTGGGCAAATATTCTTTGATTATTAAAAGTCGTCTAAAGAATATCATCCGCAGATACAGTTAAGGGGCATTTTTAAACCTAATTGTCGCCTTAGTTCCTTTTTTAAATTTAAAGGCCAAATTTCATCTCTACAATCTTCTTTTGATGTATAGAAAATCATTTGTTCTTGCTGTCATCAGGACTATATTGGTTCTACCAAAATAAAATTAATAACCTGTATAAAAGAACATGCTAATACTAGGCATTTAGCCAAACCTAACATACAAACTCCCTAGGTGAATGTGACGTTACATCTCAATTATAATTTGTTAAAGATCCTGGCTAGGACGATTGGTGAACAAAGACTTCATGTTAAGGAGTTTCTGCTGGTTTACAAACTGAGGCCCGAAATCAATGTTCTCAGAAAGGATTTGAAATGTAACATTCAGAAAAATAAATTGCCACATTTCAATATTCTATACCAAAATT